GGCCAGGTTCCAGGGACCATGGGCATCCCCATCCCCAGTCAGGAGGTGAGCCCCATCATAGGTCCCAGACATTCCCATGCATATACGACAGCTCTTGGGAGTGGGAGGCAGGGACCCTGATTCCGCCTAACGCCCCCACACACACTGCCCCTAGAAGGGGGGGTTCGTTCCACCAATGCCACCACTGGCAGGGGGGCCTGGGCAGCCCACTGACACTGCTTTGGCCAGGGCTGGCCAGACCCCATGCAAACACACAAGTGCACACACGGACAGTGGTACATAGGTCCCCCAGAGCCCCAGGGCCCTCGCGTGGAGGGACACAGTGAAGTGGAAAAGGGGGTGAGGACAGGCTGGAGTCAGCTAGGACTGGGGAAGAAGGTGGAGGGTGGGGATGGGGCTAGAGCTGAGGATGCAGTGATGGAGGGGGAGGAGCCTGAGATCAAGGGTAAGTGGTGAGAACAGAAGAGCAGCAAAGTGGCGGGGGGAGGGGGCGGTGAAGGAGGCTGGGCCAGCAGGAGCTGAGGCTAGGGAAGAGCTGAAGTTGGAGGCTGGGGAGCTGGAGAGCGGATGGGCAGAGCATCTGATGACAGGACCGGGCAGCAGAAGGGCGGGAAAACAAGCTGAGGTCTGAAGTCTGGGGGACAGAAATGACACCATCCATGAAGGAGGCAGATGGGACTGAAGTGATGTATGAGGCTGGGTGAGAATCCAGAGATGGGGTGAGATGATGGGTCTGGAACCAAGCCTGGGGCCAGGATGAGGCCAGGCTGGGCTGGAAAAGAAAACAGGTTACGGGTGGGGGCGGAAAGGTCAAGGCCGGGTGCACTCACGTCAATGGAGCAGCCCAGGAGGGACCCCCGTTCCAGGGCCTTGAGGATGATTTGGTAGAGGTCGCTGGGTGGCTTGCGCAGCTCATACCACTCGGTGACCCCGCCTGTGAAATCCTCGAAGCCCTCTGAAGTGCTGCCCCCAGAGAGGGCCTCGTAGCTGCCATTCACCCTGCAGGCAGCCCCAGGTCAGCACTCTGGCAGCAAGCCAAGACCCCAGGCCCCAGGGTCGCCTGCAGTGGCCCGTGGCCCTGACTCACTTGGCATAGGCCTTCTCGAGCAGGGCACTCCAGAACTCATTGCCTTGGGCAGAGTGCACAAACACCAGCTTTCCGTCCTTCATGGGCAGCAGGTCATCCACGACCACGTCCACCCATTCCCCAAACTGCCAGAGCTGGAGGGGACGAGAGCACAGTGAGCACCTGCTGTGGGATCTGCCCGGCAGCCTCCCCGGCCATTTGCTAGATGCCTGATCACGGACCTCTAGATCTAGGAGCCTGAGCGAGGTCTCCTCTCGGAGCCTCAGTTTCCCTAGCCATAAAAGGGAACAGCAGGACCTTCCTCAAGGGAAAACCAACCATGATCACAAAGATAAAGCTTTTAGGACAGCATTATTGGTATTTCTAGAACAGACCAAGGTGCTTCCTCAAGTAGGCTGAGGTTGGAAAGCCCTGGGGGCTTGGCTCTCGTGGAACCAGACCCCTACCCCCCCTCCGCATTCTAGTTCATTCTAGGTCGGGATGTGTGTCTTGAGGGGGGATGTGGGGGGATACATTTGTAAATAAAGTCTGGATCCAAAATGTGGCATCTAGACCACAAGATGGGTGTGGTTCTCACATGCATGGGTTTGCTTCACAGATGGCGAGAGAAACAGGTTTCCTAGGGCCAGAAGCGTCAGGGGCCTGGGCCAGAAGTGATCAAGTGCAATCGAGGTGGGAAGGAGTGCAGAACATCGGGGCAAGGGGAGGAGGTGGGCCCAAGTAGTGAGGGGGGAGGGGGACATGTGGAATGGGCCAATCAAGAGGCCAGGGAGGAGCGGATTAGAGGAGTAAGGGAAGGGGGCAGGGGAAGGGGCAGCAAGGCCACGCCCCTGCAAGCCGGTGCGGACAGGTGCGCACTTGGCACGGCCGGTCCGCTCGGCCCCGCCCACCGGCCCAGGGCAGGATGGAATGGGGAAAGGGACTCCCTGAGCAGGCGGCAGGAGAGAGCACCCAGGAGTCCCCGGGGCAGGGCTGGGGCCACTAGGGCCAGAGGGTCTCACCCAGGGTTGCTGGGGGTGTGTCTCTCCCAACATCAGCTCACTGAGAATTCCTTAGTGTGACTTGAGAAATGGGCCCTTGCGTGCAAAAAGGGAATAGCAGGTTTAAAAAGTTTTAATCCTTTCTTTTCTGCAGGTCGCCAAAGTGCTAGAGGAGCTGGGCGTGCGTGGGTGGGGAGACTTGCGCCACGGGTGGGGATGGCCACGGGTGCTGCTCTGTTTTCCCCAGTGGAACACTATTTATTTTTCAGACGGGAAACTGAGACCCCGTGGAGGAAAAGGACTTGTCCCACAGGAAATAGTAGAGATCTTTCTATTCCTCCAAGCACTTTTTCCCTGATCTGCACAACCACACAGGAAGACTGCCAGCCAGAATACCTGCCTGCCCAGCCGTTTCACACATGACAGATCTGAGATGCATCAAGAGGTCAAATTCTTTCTAGAGGAAGGACTGATCCCTGCAGGGTGTGGACTTAAGCCACCCTAACTTCAGACTGCTGTAGGTCACTGGTCCTCACCTCCTCCAGTGCCTGCTACCCCTCTTTTCCCCCATGCCCTGGTCCTAGGTGGATTCGGGGCTCCTCACCTGGAAATGGAAGATGCCGGCATAGCCATTCTGGAAGCTTTGGCCGTGTGGAACCACTCGATGCAGAAGCGTGTCATTGAGGGTGAGGGAGGCAATTGCGGCCAGGAGCCAACAGTCCCCTGGGATGGGAGGGACCCACATCAGGACTGCTCTGCAAAAATGCTCCCAGGGATGCGCAAGTGCCTATGCCGGGGAGAACCTGGGATTCCCTGGGCACCATGTCCCTCAGCTTAGAGAAAAGACCTAGGAATCTAGGCAAACCAGCCCAGCACTGATAGCTAGAGCCTGCCTGAGCTTGCAGGAGGGAGGGAGGGGTTAGGGCAGAGCGGGAAAGAACAGGCCTGGGGAACTACTCTGGAAAAAACACACAGAACCCCCCCCCCCACACCACCACCACAAGGGCCTACCCAGTGCTCCCTGGCAGATGTCTGTACGGGTAGCTCCATCCACAATGAACTGGGGGTTTGAGAGCAGCTCCTGCAAGAGACCCGGAGTCCTGTCTCTGGGCCAGCCCTCCGAGAAACTGGAAGCCAGCCACCCCAGACCCCAGTCCCCGCCAGCGACCTCGAGTCCTCTTCCCACTCCTCACCCAGGATAGGGGTAAACGGACTCCCACCCCTGGGGAGAGGGGTCCCTCTCACCGTGGGACGCTTCCACTTGATGCCATAGGTTTTGGAGGAGTTGGGGCCCAGGTCCTTGTAGCCTAGGCTCTGGGGCACCGGGGGGAAAGCCTCATCACGGAAGAGGGCCCCACTCTGCAGGCAATGAGCCCGCAGCTGCTCATAGTCCTGGCCCATGTACTTGATGGCGTTTTCATGGCGGCCAAGGCCCAGCTCCTTGGCCCGCTGCTTCTGCACCTGAGCAGACACTCCCGTGCAGTACACTGGGATGATGATCTCCTCAGCCATCCTGCAGGACAGACCAGCCGCTCAGAACCCAGGCCTTCCCAGGGCTGGAACTGGGGCTCCTGCCTGCCGCTCAGCACCCTTCCTTTCCAAACCTGGGGTTTCCCCACCTCACTGCTCCCCTCACAGAACTCGAGACTCTCCGCCACCTCCCTATACCCCCAGAAACCAGGAGAGAGGCTGCTCTGCCCCTAGGTGTGCGGCCACCACCTCCCCACCCCTACACAATGCTCTCCCTTCCCACACTCCCATTGTCCTGGGCCTGCAGTCCTGTGCTTAGCCGACCAGGCAGGTGGGGCAGGGCAGAGCCTAGAGACGACACAGTAACCCCGTCCCCAAACAGCCGAGCTCCTAGGCACCGGCCCCCCCTTCCCCGGCTTGGAGGCCGAGAACTCCAGGCAGCCAGGGTCCCCCTCCCCAGACCCGTGACACGGGCTGAGTGATCCAGGGCTGCCGGGCCTCAGTCCCTTCCCCTCCGGCCTTCCCCCAGCCCAGCCCCAGGAGACTGGTGAGCGCAGGCTGGGCCGGCTGCCTGGGCTGCGCGGCTTGCCGAGCCCCCGCCCCTGTCCGGGCTCTCAGAAGGCTCGGGGCAGGGGCAGCCCCTCAGCCCGAGAGCAGTGGCCAGGGCTCGGCGAATCCTGGCCGGGCCACCCAGCTCCTTACCTGGGGGGAGCAGTGGTCGGGGGATCGCTGCAGTCCAGGCGGCTGCCTTCCCGGGTGGCGGCTCAGGGCAGGGCCCAACCAGGAAGAGCGCTCCTCCCCGCCCTCCTCCCGCGGCCCCTCCGCCCTCCTCTCCTCCTCCCTCCTCCTCCTGCCCCGGCTCCTACCCCGCTTCCTCTGCGCTCTCCCTTATCTCGGCGGCACCTTCTCCCACTATCTCTCTGACGGCGTCTCCCCGCCCCTCCCTCCGGGGCCAACTCAGCGAGAGGACAAATTGGTGAAAGGCGGAGTGGTGGCCCGGGAGGGGCCGCTGCGGCCCAGACGGAAGGGCACGGCGGGCGCGGGGGCGGGGAGCGCGGGGGAGGGCCGGGCCGGGGGTATTTTTAACCCGGGACAGCTGCTCCCCGCGCCGGGCCCGGCGGCCCCACCCCACGCGGTGCCCCCGGAGGGCATTCCCGGCCGCTCGGCCCGCCTCGCCTCCCGCCGCCCCCCCCCCCGCCCCGCCCCTGCGCGTCCCCCAGCGCGGGGCCGAGATTACCTCAGGCTGCGGCAGCCGCTCGGAGGAGGGGCCGGGCTGGCGGCGGGCGCACCCCTGTCGGACACCCGGGCACACAGCAGCCGGGGCCCCGCCGCAGCCCCGCTCCGCTCCGCGCCGCCGCCCGCCCGCCCCCGCCCCGCGGCTCGGGGCGCCTCCTCCCCGCCTTAGCGGCTCCGCGCGTCCCCGCCCCCCCCGCCCCAGGCCCCGGCTCGCTGCGTGACCTTGGGCGAGTCCCTGCCCCTCCCGGCCTCGGTTTCCCGGGTGTGTGCGCCGAGAATGGGACGGAGACGAGCGACGGCGGGAACCCATCTTTCTCTTGCGCTCTGGGGTTTCTTGAACCCGGAACCTGCGAGAGGTGGGCCTCCCTGCCCGCGCCCCCAAACCCTGGGCCCACCCACCTGGGAGCGCCCTTGTGCCGCCTGACCCAGGAGGGGGCGGCAGAGGCTGCAGGACCGACGGATCCTGCCTCCAGCCTCCCGAGCTGCGCTGGGAGAAGTCGGAGCGCCCAGAAGCCCAAGGGTGGAGGACTGCGGCGTTCCCCCAGCTCGGGGCTTTTCACTGACCCCGGGGGCCCGGGCCCAGCAGCTGCTGCAGGTCGCCTAGGATGTACACACGAGCATTTTGTTGGGGAAACAGTGCATAGCTTTCCTAGGATTTTAGGAGCCACTACCCCAAGAAGGGTGGGAGCCCCTGATTTAACCTGACCTCATTCACAGTCTCACTTTACAGATGAGGAAAACTGAGGCTGAAGGATGTGACTTGCCGAGCCCCCTCACCAGGGGCTGGAACCGAAGCCTGGGCTCTTTGCTCTTCACCATTCAGCATTTATGTGTCGAATCTTGACTAAACCCTTCTGCCAAAGCCTCTGCACAGCAGAGACCCATGACTAAGACACAGCAGCCCCTGCTGGGGAAGCAGGCTCTCCTGGTCCCTTGTTTTCGGTGATTAGGAAGTTGAGTCCTGATGGACAAGTAGAAGTTAACTAGGCAATGAATCGCTGGAGAGGGTGTCTCGGCAGAAAACAACCAGCTTGTGCAAAGGTCCAGAGGCTGGGAGAACATGTTCCGTGTACCTAGATCACCAGGAATAAGGGCCTGGAAGAAGAAAGAGGCTCCGGAAAGGTATGTGGCTCAACCTACGGGTCCCACGGTTCCCAGAATCATCTTCACAAACCTATCACTCCTACCCAGTGCTTTTGATTGTTCACCAAATGTGCACTGACCACCTGTATGTGCAGAGCACTGTGCTCGCCTGAGCATAAGATGGTGAAGACCCATGGCCTCACCCCCTCTGAAGGAGGTGTGCATCGCTTTAATTTTGACACCCATAATTAATTGGGAAGAATTGGTGCTAAGCCCTATCTAGTCCAGGGGTTAGAATAGGCATAAATCAGACACAGGGTTGTATGAGGGGGTATGGGAGATGCCAGGTCGGGGAACTGGCACAGTGGAGGAACTGAAATATGCATAGTGTTACTTGAGCAGAGAGAGAGAGAGTTATGGCAGGACTAGGTGACCCATGGGAGTTTCCATTTTATTCTACTTGGGGTACAAGGCTGCTCAGATTTGTACAAATGAAGGAGGCTGCAAGGGAGTGGGCTGGAGGGGCAAGAGAGAAAGCAGGGGATCCAGATAAAAGACCAGGGAGAGTGGTGGCTCAAACAAGGGAAGTGGTAGGTGGGAGAGAGAAGTAGATTAATCTGATAACTATCTAGGATACATCATATCAACATCTGAGACTGGGTTAGACACCTAAATATAAACCTTAAAACTACAAAACTTCCAGAAGAAAGCACAGGACAGATCTTAATGATCTTGGGTTTGGCAAAGACTTCTTAAACATGACACACACACAAAAACACAAGCAATAAAAGAAAAAATTAAATTGAACTTCATCAAAATAAAACACTTTTGTTCTTTGAAAGGCATGGAAATGAAAAGACAAGCCACAGACTAGGAGGAAATTAGCAAAAATTATATCTGATGAGGGATGTGTATTTAGAATATATGAAGAATTTTAACAACTTAAATAATCCAGTAAAAATGGGTGAAAGATTTGAATGGACACCTCACCCAAGAAGATATATAAATGGCAAATAAGACATGAAAAAATGCTCAACACATTCATCATCCACTGGGAAAACACAAATTAAAACAACCTAAAGGACCATCACTACACATTTACTAAAATAGCTAAAATGAAAAAGACTGTCCCTGTTGGCAAGGATGCGGAGGGCTGAAACTCTCAAATGCTGCTGGTGGGAATTCAGAATGCCATCACTACTTTGGAAAACAGTTTGACAGTTTTTTAAAAATATGTTTTTTAAACATATTTAGCAATAAATAAAAGTGACCTGTCAAGCTACAGAAAGGTGGTGGAATCCCAAATACCTATTGCTCAGTAGAATATGCCAGAAAAAAAGCTATATAGTTATGATTCCAACTATATAACATTCTGTAAGAGGCAAAACTAGAGATAGTAAAAAAAAGATCAGTGGTTGCCAGGGGTTTGCAGGAGGAGGGGAGGGATGAATAGATGTAACACAAGGACATTTCTAGGGCAGTGAAATTTGTGTATGATATTATAATGGTAGATACATGACATTATACATTTGTCAAACCCATAGAATATACAACATTAAGAATAAATCCTAATGTAAACTATGGACTCTAGTTAATAATACTAATGTATCCATATTGGCTCATCAACTGCAACAAATATACCACACTCTTGCAAGATACTAATACTAGGAGAAACAATGTGACAAAGAGGGGGTATATGCGAATTTTCTGTATTTTCTCAGTCATTTTTCTGTAAACCTAAAGCTGCTCTAAAAAAAATAGTCTATCTTGGGGTGCCTGGGTGGCTCAGTCGGTTAAGTGACTACCTCTGGCTTGGTCCATGATCCCAGGGACCTGGGATCGAGCCCCATGTAGGACTCCCTGCTCAGTGGGGAAGTCTGCTTCTCCCCCTCCCCCTGCTCATGCTCTCTCTCTTGCTCACTGTCTCTGTTTCAAATGAATAAATAAAATCTTAAAAAAAAAAATAGTCTATCTTAAAAAAAGAAAAAAAACACATACCTACCATATTAAACATAAACCTATCATATAGTCATATAGGACCCATTATTCCACTCCTAAGCATTTACCCAAGAGAAATAAAAGTATATATCCACACAAAGACTTGTGTTCATAGCTTTTTTTTTTTTTTTTTGGTCGTCAAATGATCCTTTCTTGAAATCTCCTTTGTAGCTGGGTATTCCACTGCACCACTGCCGATGTCTTTTATGGTGCCATGAGGAAGGCGGCCGTCAACCCCGCAGCCCACAGACTGGCAATCCCCATGATCTCTTTAATGGTTCCCAAGCACTCTAGTTAAAGATCGGTGGGGTATCTGTCTGGCAGTGTTGACAATCTTACCAAAAGTGATGTTTCCACTGTGCTTAATGTTTTTCTGCTGTCTCTTAATGGTTCCTTGAGGGTTTTGATGATCAGGGCAGTGGCAGAAGGTACCACCCCAACCAATGAACAAAGGAATATCATAGCCTGATGAGTTATATGTATCTCCCTAAATTAAATAAAATTTTATGCCCCCCCCAAAAGAAGGTACCACCCCGATCTGGTTCTGTCTGTTCACTGTCATCCTCAGTCCCTTGTAATCACCAGTTGCTTTTGGCAATGTCATCTCCAATCTTCTGGGGAGACAGACCCCAGGGGCCAATTATGGGGGCCAGGGCCGATGTGGCACTGACCTCCCTGCCCCTGCATCTCAGGTATATGATTTTGATATCCTTGGGGTCAAACTTAGGCAGCAGGGTGGAGATGGCTAGTGCCGGGTGAAGCCAGATTCAGGACTAGCAAAGAAGTTGCACCAGGGCCTCCTCAGAGCAGAGAGCTGAAAGCTATTCATAGCAATTTTAGTCATAGCAGCCTAAACTAGAACCAATCAAATCTTCATCCGTGCATTGTGGATGGATAAACAAACAGTGGTATACATATACAATAGAATCCTACCCAGCAATAAAAAGGAACAATAGATGAATCTCAGAATTATAACAAATGTAAGAAGCCAGACAAGAATACATATTATATAATTCCACTTATATGAAAAGTCTAGAAAAAGGATGCCAATTTAGTGATAGAAAGCAGATCAGTGGTTACAAAGGGGTGAGGGTGGGGGGGCTGGCAGGTGGGAAAGGGTGGGAGGGAAGGATTACCAAGGGGCTTGAAGAAACTTTTGGGGGATGGACATGTTCATTCTCTTGATTATGGTAATGGTTTCATGGGTGTATACATGTCAAAACAAAATGTATATTTTAAATGTGTGTGGTTTATTGTATGTCAACTAGACCTCAATAAACCTGTTAAAAACCTGGAGCGCCTGGCTGGCTCAGTCAGTAGAGCATGTGACTCTTGATCTTGGGGTTGTAAGTTCAAGCCCTGTGTGGGGTATAGAGATTACTTAAAAAATCAGTCTTTAAAAAAGCCCAACAACACGAACAGGGCTTAGTTAGAGTTAGAGATGGCTCTTGGAACACAGTAGGGGATCAAAGGCAACTCTAAACCCTTGATCTGGCTTGACCACCTGAGTGGATTAAGGAGGCAGAGGGGACTCACCAAGCCAGGGGGACAGTGCAAGACCTTTGGGAACACTTCCTCCAAGCAGAGGGGCCCAAGGAGGGAACATAGAGGTACAAATTTGGGAGTCACTGGCCATTGGTGCCACGTGAAAGATGCAGAGATCAGGGGACAGGCACTTTACTCTGGATACAAAGATACTTTATAAAGATGTCAGTTCAACTTAAAGCAATCTATAGATGTATCAGAGTTAATATTCTAACTGATCAGGGGAGGCTAGAAAAGCTGATTTAAGGTCCATATGGAAAGTTAAACAAGCAAGAGTAGCCAGGAAACTTCTGAAAACAAAGGGAAATCAGTGGAGACTAACTCTACCAGATATTAAAACATAATAAATCCATAATTAGATGTAATAATTAAAGAGGGGTACTGACATATAGATCATTGGAAGTTAGAAAAATCTAGAAGTGGGGGCACCTAGGTGGCTCAGTCAGTTAAGCATCCATCTTTTGATCTCAACTCAGGTCTTGATCTTAGAGTCATGAGTTCAAGCCCCACATTGGGCCCCATGCTGGGAGTGGAGCCTATGTAAGAAAAAAAAAAAAGAAAAAGGAAAAAGAAAAATCTAGAAGTAGATCCAAATGCACATAGGAATTTAGTATTTAATATAGCATTTCAAATCTGTTGAGAAAAGATGAGTTTTTAAATAAAAGGCATTAGGAAAATAGGAAGGAATTTTGCATATGATAAATTCCAGATGAACTCAAGATTTGAATGTAAAAAAATGAAAATAAGAATGTAGCCAAGAGCTAAGGGAGAAGATTCTTTAGTCATCTCAGTGTGGAAAAGGTCTTTTTAACTATGACACAAAACCCAGAAGCCACAAAAAAAAGCTTATTTTCCTACATCAAAAAATCTGCCCAGCAAAGTCAGCAAGAAACTGAAGAAAATACAATCGACATCTTGAAGGGCTATTTTTCTCGCAAACCCTTATATGTCAATCAGAAACCAAAATGGGAGAAACAGGCAAATAGGGTTGTTCACAGAAAAGAAGACAAACGACTCTTAATTGTATGAACTTGAACTCACTCAAAAGAAGAAAACATGCAAATTAGAACTTCACCAAGGGACCATTTTCCACTGAGCAGTTTGGCAAAGATAAAAAATCTGGTATGTCACTGATAGATGATTGTTCTGGAAAACAGCCTTCATACATACTGCTGGAGGTGGGGCTCAGTATGGGCATGGCCTCTAGAGAGGGACATTTGGCAAAAATTGTAAAAATGACTATTCGGACGTGGCCCTGGGGCAATTCTTCTAGGAATTCCTACTACAGGTATCTTTTCACATTTGAATAATGATGTCCTTACAAAGTCTTGGTGACTCTCTGTAGGACTGTTTGGAATAGAAGAACTCTGGAAGCAACTTAGATGTCAATGGATGAGGAACAAGCTACATTTTGGTACATCCGCGAAGAGGAATACTATACAGCTGTCAAAACGAATATATGGATAAGGAACCATCTTCAAACCTGGGGTGCCCACAACCCCTTCCTCAGGTTTGATCATTTAGTAGAAGACACAGAACTTGGGGAAGTGCTTTACTTATGAGTTTTATTTTAAAAGATACAACACTGAAGCAGCCAAATAAAAGCTGTGCCTAGGGGCAAGGGAGGGTGGGGAGGGATGCAGAGCTTCTGTGCCTTCTCTAGGTAGCCCACCCTCCCAGCACCTGTGTCCCCCAATCCAGAACTGCTCCAATTTCCAGACCCGCTCTCCTCCTTGGAGGAGGTGGGGAAGCTGAAAGTTCCCACTCTTGATTGGTCTTTCTGGGGTAAGTAGGGGCTCCACCCTGAGTCACTTCATTAGCATGGTGTGGCTCAAAGGGGCTCATTGCGAATAACAAAATTCACTCCTATGACGCAGAACATTGTAAGGGTTTTAGTAACTCTGTGCAGGGAACAGGGACAAAGACCAAATCCATACTTTTTTTTTTTTTTTAAACCACACCACATTTGGCTGTGTATGCTTATATTCTTTCTCTGGAAGGACATAAGCTATTAGTTTTATTGCTTCCAGGGAAGGGGACTGGGGGTAGGAGGTGACCCTTGGTTCAAAATTTAAAACATACATGTGAATATATTATCTCTTTGAAAAACAAATGAAAAGTACTTTGTAGCCCTTGTCTTGGCTTCTAATGCCCGCAATCTCCCGGCTTTCTCACTTCCATGCTTCCTGGGAGCCACTCAGAGAGTATGCAGGGGAATGGTGTGCAGATCCGCTTGTCGGACACCCCGCCCCCCCACCGTGGACTTCACCAGCTTCAGTTCCAGCCACTTCCCAAACACACCCTCCCCTCCAGACTTTCCCCAGCCAGCCATTCCCTCTACTGGTAACACCCAGGGCTCGCATCTGAGCTCCGTTCTTAAAAAAGTTCTAAACACATCTAGGATTAATGCACTCAAACCTCACAACAGGGGCGCCTGAGTGGCTCAGTTGGTTAAGCATCTGCCTTCAGCTGAGGTCATGATCCCAGGGTCCTGGGATTGAGTTCCATTTCGGGCTCCTTGCTCTACGGGGAATCTGGTTCTCCCTCTCCCTCTGCTGCTCCCCCTGCTCGTACTCTCTTTGAATAAAATCTTTAAAAAAAAAAAAATACCTCTTCTCATTCAACCTCATCGACACTGTGTAGATTTCGTCATTCATAGGTGAAGTCATAGAGGGGAAACTGAGTCGGGATGACTGGTCATCATTGGAAAGGGGAATTGTTATTACAGAGCCTGTGCTCATGAGTCTCCATCACTGGTACCTAACTTGGCAGACCCCCCTCTCCTGGCATTCCCTCCCTAACCCTACCCTGGGTCAAGGAGCCAGGCCAGGGCCTAAGCACAGTCGGAGTCCTATAGACCCGAGTTTATTAGAGGGGCCAGGGTCAGAGTGGGTACATTTGGGAGGAGGTGATGGGGCCTGGGCAGCTCTGCCAGCCTGATGGCAATAAGACAGAAGGCCAGGGGGGGAGGGGGGGCGGCACGCAGCCAGTGGGGCTTGGGTCAGCAGGCAAGCAGGTGGGCTACTCTTCACCCTGCAAGTGTCAGGGCCCAGGGCATGGTGGAGGCTTCGGGAGGACTGGGGAGAAAGGACAAAGAGAGGCTCAGAGAGGAAACTTACCAAGTGCACACAGCTAGGAGGTGGCAGAGCTGGGACAGGTGCCCAGGCCTGCTGGACCCCAGGTCCTGTGCCCCTCCTTCTCGTTCTGTCAGGCCCCACACCTGCCTCCTAGCCTCCCAAGCCCAGCCCCAGCTGCTGCCTTCAACTCACTGTGGAGACTGTAGGTGCCTGGCTCCAGTTGCAGCTGGGGGGGCGGAATGATAAGGAAGCCCCCCACCAAGGGGTCTTCAGCCACTGAGAGACAAGCTTGGAGGGGAGGGCAATGCCATTCAGGGGTTGGGGAAGGGCACTTGGTTAAGACAGGCAAGGAGCGGGGCTGGTGGTGGCAGTGGCTGTGGGAAGGGGGCCAGCCACAGAGGGAACAGTGAGGTGGCGAGAGGCTGGGGGGCCCGGGGAGGGGGACCTGGGCCTTTGGACCCCTCTGAGCCCCACCATGCTGGGGGCGCCGCTCTCGAGTCCAGGCCCAGTGAGACCGCTCCTTGGCCATGACCTGGCGTGAGTAGAGTGCATAGTAAATGGGGGCGGGAGGTCCAGCCTTGTGCCCCCCACCCCAGGATGATGGTGGGGCCTCACCTCCTCACAGCACTCACGGCTCACCATGGCCCGGAAGCCCATCCGGGCCCACAGATTATCCCTTTGATGCAGGAAGTCTGACACCCGGAGATGCCAATCTTTTCCCAGGGCCCACAGAAAAATCACACATTTGGGGTCCTCTACATCCTCCTCCATGTCATTGGCGAGAAACCTGGCCATGGAGGGGGGGCAGAGAGCAGAGGCCATAAGCATCTGGCCTGCCCCACTCCACAACTCCCAGCTAGCGTCTCTACCACCTGCCCTGGCCACTCACAGAGCCAGAAACAAGTTGCTGTGGGTGTACTCGCTGAGCTTCAGGTTGGCACGCCGGAAGTAGACCAGCACCATGGCCAGAAGATACTGCAGACACAGAAAAGGGGAGAGTTACAGGGAGGCACGGGGGAGAGGCAATTGCACCAGGCCCACTCGCTCCCAAGGAAGCAGGGGTGTGAGTCAGAAAACCCAGAGGAATTGGCTGGGGTGGGGCGGGGGGTGGGGGTGCAAAGATTTAAAAGGGAGGTGCTCCCTCCACCAGACCGGGAGGCCCGCTGAAATAGCCTTCAAGCCCCGCGAATTCAAACTGCCCCAAGTGACCCCCGGCCTCTACTCCCCGTGTCACCTCACCTTATCCGAAATCTGGAAACAGGGATCTTTGGAAAGGAATTCCTGGAGGAAACTGTGCTCTGCGGTATAGAGAAGAGAGATGGTGGACTGGGGTTACCACCAGCCCCACAAGACAAGAGTGGCATCAGAGTTCCAAAGCCCAAGCCTCTGCTGATCCCACATTCTGCCAAGACCCCTCCCTTCCCTTTGCCAAACTGGGGTCACCTGAGAAGGGACAGGACAGAGATTTCAGAGGCGTGCATGGATGGGCAGGTGAGATCCCACCTCTCCCATCGATTTCACGCAGGGGCCCCACACCCGCTTCCATGCCAGCCCCCAAGTGAACTCACCCAGCAGGTTGAGAAAGGCCTGGAGCTCCTGGTGCCGGCGCTGATGGACAGACCCACTCCCCCCACCTTGACGGCTCCAGCCCCCCAGCTTCACCTGGGTGGCAACCACGGGGACAGTGGCCAAGTCTTGAGTGTCACTCATCTCACAGGGGGTGGGGGCAGGACAGCCTGTAGAGAAAGCAGCCTCAGGATTTAGCACCTACCCCCTTGCCCCCCACCCCCCAAATCGAGAGGGTTGATGAGGCTGGCCTGACAAAGGACCTCCAGAAGGTAGAGACTTGGGGTGGGGGGCAGGGCGGTGCTGGGAGCAGACAGAAACTGGCATATGTGTGGGGTGAGGAGGCCAGAAAAGCAGCAGAGTTCCTGAAGGATGCCGCCCCCCCCCACTCCCACCGCATCCTGGCACCCCAGGCCAGGCCAGGGAGGAAGCAGAGCATCAACAGGCCCACGAGGGCCTCCTAAGTGCCTGGGGCTGTGCTAAATTCTTTAAGGGCATTATTTCACTTCATCCCGGAGCGGGTCTAGGCCAATACCCATTTTGCAAACACGGAAGCTGAAGCGTGGAAGTCTCGTCACAGCTACTTAAAAGGTGGGGACGGCCTGACTCCCAAAGCCAAAGAGTTTAATTGCTCCTCTGCCCCCCCAACTCCCAAATACCCCTTCACTCCACACCAAATTGGCATATTTGGAAGGACCACCAACCCCTTTCTTCACGGAGAGGAAACTGAGGCCCAGAGGGGGGATGTAACTAGACAAGTACCTGAGGTGGGGCGACCTCAAAATTTTCAAGCTACGGGGAGAGATGCCACCTACGGGGCTCAGAAATTGCAGCCCACCACCCTATAGTCAACCTGAGGTCCTCCACCTAGGCTCCCACAAGCAGCCCACCCTCCTCTTCCTCCTCCTCCTCCAAAAAGCCTTACCTGACCTAGGGGATTACCTACAGCATGACTCTTTGCGCTCGGGACTGCATTTATATAGCCCTAGCGCTGCTCCGCCCCCGCAGCCCTCCACCAATCAGGCCCCTTCCTGGGGAGGGGGTGGGGCTTTCGGCCATCACCGCCCACCTCTACCTGGAGTGAACTCGGTCTCCACATTCGCCTCCCAGCTGCGGCCCCCCAAAGTAAGAGCTTCTCCAACACTCCGTCACCTGCAAGAGGGGTAAAGGCAGGCCGGCGGGACCCCAGGGCCGGAATGGCAACACGGTCCCCTCCCCACCTGTTTCTTAAAGGTGAAGCCAAGGTGCAGGCCGGAAACGAGGCCTGGGCACGATTCACTGATTGTGTCTTGGTGGGACAGAGTTGCTGGTTGGGTCTCTGTTTGTTTCAGATCCAGGAACCTCAAAACCTGAGAGCCAGAGAGGAGAGTGTCTTGGCATGAGAGTTCCCAGAGTCCACATCCCCCTCCCAAGATCCTTTAGTGGCAGGGGGAGCTTAGCCAGTGGCTCTAAGGTGGGAGAGGAGGCCTTTGCCAAAGACCAGCAAGCCCCTCCCACCCCACCACCCCCCACCCCCAGCCTGGTGCAGACCTTAAGCCTTGCCGTGCTCACTGGTTCATTTACTCTCTCTATAATCCTATGGGACAGTCACCATCTGCATTACCTTCTACTTTTAACAGGTGACACTTGGGTTTCCCCCCATTTTTTTTTTTATCGTGGTAAAATACACATACCGAACAATTTACTACCTTAGCCATTTTTGCGTTAAGTAGATTTAAGTACGTTCATATCGTTGTGCAGCCACCACCACCAGCCATCTCCAAAACTCTTCATCTTGCAAAACTGGGTGTCTATACCTATGAAACAATCACCCCTCATTTCCCCTCCCCCAGTCCAGGGCAACCACCATGCTGCTTTCTGTGTCTGTGAATTCACCTCCTACAAGTGGAATCACACAGGAGTTGTCTTTTTGTGACGGGCTTATTTCGCTTAGCATGTCCTCAGGGTTCATCCATGCCCTGGCGTATGTCAGGATTCCCTTCCTTTTTAAGGCTGAATAATATTCCATTCCACGTATAGACCACAGTTTGCTTATCCATTCATACATCCTTGGACACTTAGGCTATTTCCCTATCCTGGCTATGGTGAATACGTCAGCCATGAGCATAGTGTACAAATATCTTGAGCCCTTGCTTTGAGGTATACACCAAGAAGTGGAATTGCTGGGTCAGGAGATAATTCTATGTTTAATATTTTGAGGAAGCATCAAATTGTTTCCCACAGCAACGGCACCATTTTGCAGTCCCGCAAACGGCCAACAAGGGTTCTAACGTCTCCACATTGTTGCCAACACTTGTTATTTTCTGTTTTGTTGATAGTAGCCATCCTAATGAGTGTGAGGTGGTGACAGGTGACTTTTAAAATATGTATTTAGGGGCTCCTGGGTGGCTCAGTTGGTTGAGTGTCTGCCTTTGGCTCAGGTCATGATCCTGGGGTCCTGGGATCGAGCCCCGCATTGGGCTCCCTGCTCAGCGGGAAGCCTGCTTCTCCCTCTCCCACTCCCCCTGCTTGTGTCCCCTCTCTCGCTGTGTCTCTCTCTGTCAAATAAATAAATAAAATCTTTTAAAAAATCAAATAAAAAATGAGAAAAAGATCTGAACAGAAAATTCACCGAGAAAAGACATGAAAATCTTTTCCAAACATATGAAAAAATGTTCAAACTCACTTAAATAAATCAAATCAACACCGAAACACCTATCAGATTGAGAGGGGAGTCTGCTTCTCCCTCTCCCTCTGTGATCTCTCTTGCTCTCACTCTCTCTCAAATAAATAGATAAAATCTTTTTTAAAAATAAAATAAGTGGCGCCTGGGTGGCTCAGTCGTTAAGCGTCTGCCTTCGGCTCAGGTCATGATCCCAGGGTCCTGGGATCGAGCCCCGCATTGGGCTCCCTGCTCAGCGGGAAGCCTGCTTCTCCCTCTCCCACTCCCCCTGCTTGTGTTCCCTCTCTTGCTGTGTCTCTCTCTGTCAAATAAGTAAATAAAATGTTAAAAAATAAATAAATAAAATAAAATACATATTTAATAGAAATGGAGGCCAGAAAGAAGTTGAATCATTTATGCTCAAAGTAACCACATAAGGGGGCTCAAGTCATGTGACCAACACATCTGCCTCCGGGAGGTCAGTTTTGTGGTTCTCATTGACATTTTTCATATGGGAAACTGAGGCTCGGGGCCTCAACCTGCTGACATTTGGATGTGGCTGGGCCAGGTGGTCGGTGAGCACAGGGCCAGCTTTGGAGCCCGGGTCCAC